TGGACAGTGAGAGAGAGAGAGAGAGAGAAAGGTTTTCCTTTTCCGTTGGTTCACCCGCCAAATGGCTGCTGCGGCCGGTGAGCTGCGGCCAGTGCACTGCACTGATCCGATGGCAGGAGCCAGGTGCTTCCTCCTGGTCTCCCATGTGGGTGCAGGGCCCAAGCACTTGGGCCATCCTCCACTGCCTTCCCGGGATACAGCAGAGAGCTGGACTGGAAGAGGGGCAACCAGAACAGAATCCGGCGCCCCGACCGGGACTAGAACCTGGGGTGCCAGCGCCGCAGGCGGAGGATTAGCCTATTGAACTGCGGTGCCGGCCCTTTGTTACTTTAACTCATTACCTATGATTACAGCTGATTTAATCAGAGAATACACATTTTCCAATTTTTTCTTTCAGATGTATTTACTTATTTGAGAGGCAGAGTTACAGAGAGAGGGGTCTTCCATCCGCTGGTTCACTTACCAAGTGGATGCAATGGCTGGAGGTGGGCCTGTCCAAAGCCAGGAGCCAAGAACTTCCTCCAGGTATCCCACTTGGGTGCGGGGGCCCAAACACTCCAGCCATCTTCCACGGCTTTCTCAGGCACGTTAGCAGGGAGCTGGATCGGAAGTGGAGCAGGCAGAACTTGAACAAGTGCCATATGGGATGCTGGCACCGCAGGCGGAGGCTTAACTACTATATGCTACAGCGTCAGCTGGAGAATACACATTTTTCATGCTCCCACATTAATTCTACATTCGTACCACCTTTTCCTGTTAATCAATACATCCTCTTATTTTTTAAAGTTCTCAAATTTATGAATCTTCCCAGTGTGCATGCTTAGAAGTTTGAAAGAGAAAAAAAAGGTTATGTAGTCTATAATTTCCAGGAATGTTTGCTTCCCAGTTACTTCAAACTAAAGCACTTTAGTCACATCAACATCTGCAAAAAGACTGTTTTAAAAAACACAGTAATGGGCCGGCGCCGTGGCTCACTAGGCTAATCCTCCACCTCGTGGCACCAGCACACTGGGTTCTAGTCCCAGTCGGGGCGCCGGATTCTGTCCCGGTTGCCCCTCTTCCAGGCCAGCTCTTTGCTGTGGCCCAGGAGTGCAGTGGAGGGCTTGGGCCCTGCACCCCATGGGAGACCAGGATAAGTACCTGGCTCCTGCCATCGGATCAGCGCGGTGGGCCGGCAGCAGCGCGCCGGCCGCGGCGGCCATTGGAGGGTGAACCAACGGCAAAGGAAGACCTTTCTCTCTGTCTCTCTCTCACTGTCCACTCTGCCTGTCAAAAAAAAAAATTAATAAACCAATTAAAAAATCAAGAATATTTGGTAGTAAAAGGAACTATTATTACATCTTTAAGGGGGAAAATGATATTGTAGTGTTTTTTTTTTTTTAAGATTTATTTATTTGAAAGGCAAAATGGGAGAGAAGACACACACACACACACACACACGGTCTTCCTTTCATCTTCCTTTCACTGTTTTACTCTTTTTTTTTTTTTTTTTTGACAGGTTCACTCGCCAATGGCTGCCGCGGCCAGGTGCTTCTCCTGGACTAGAACCCGGTGCGCAGGCGCTGCAAGGCGGAGGATTAGCCTAGTGAACCACGGTGCCGGCCTCACTGTTTTACTCTGCAAATGGCTGCAATAGCCAGGGCTGAGCCAGGCCAAAGCCAGGAGCCAGGAGCTCTATCTGGGTCGCCTGCATGGGTTGCAGGAGCACCAGTACTTGGGCCATGTTCCATTGCCTTTCTCTGTGTGTTAGCAGGAAGCTGGGTTGGAAGCAGAGTAGCTGGGATTGAAACTGGCCCTGTGATAAAGGATGCTGGCTTAACCCGCTGAGCCACAATGCTGCCCTTCTGATTTTGCTTTCTAAAAAGAGCTCTTACACATTCAGAGACACTTGTACCTACTGAAATACTTAGAGATGACATGGTATGTTTCTGTGGTTTACTAAAAATATTTCAGGAGAGGGGAAAGTAGATAGAGGTAAATAGGTGTGAGCTGGTAATTATGGAAGTTCTTTATGTGTAGGATTTTATTAGAGTAGTCTAATGTCTAGACTTTATTATTCTTTTTTTTTTTTTTTTTTTTTGACAGGCAGAGTGGACAGTGAGAGAGAGACAGAGAGAAAGGTCTTCCTTTGCCGTTGGTTCACCCTCCAATGGCCGCTGCAGCGGGTGCGCTGCGGCCGGCGCACCGCGCTGATCCAATGGCAGGAGCCAGGTACTTCTCCTGGTCTCCCATGGGGTGCAGGGCCCAAGGACTTGGGCCATCCTCCACTGCACTCCCGGGTCACAGCAGAGAGCTGGCCTAAAAGAGGGGCAACCGGGACAGAATCCGGCGCCCTGACCGGGACTAGAACCCAGTGTGCCGGCACCGCAAGGCGGAGGATTAGCCTAGTGAGCCGCGGAGGCGCCAGCTAGACTAGTCTATATTCTTACATGTTTGAAATCATTCCTAGTAAGAATGCAAGTGTTTTTTTTAAAAGGGTTAATAATCTTATGCAAATACACTTGAAATAAACCTTGATGATCACAAGGAAGAAAGAAAAACATACAAGTGAACAAAACCTGGAAACAGGCAATTTGCAGAAGAAAATAGATAAATGCAACAGAGCATATCAAGAAATCTTCACTCTCAAAGAAACATAAATTGAAACAATGAGATACCTTTTTTTCACATGTAGAATTGACCAAAAAAAGTTCAATGATACTGTTGATGAGGATGAAATGATTCAAATGATCCATTCACTCCTAGTGGCAGTGTAGACCCAGGAGAGCTCTCATAGGTTTGTTGGTTGTCATCTTATCATTATTTGCCTCCTCATTTTACCTGTGAGCTAACTGAATGCCAGGATGTCCAAGGTCACACATCTGAGAGCTTGTTTTTATTTTACTATGAGAAAAGAAGATGGTGATGATGATGATGTACTTTGCATTATGAAGGGGATTCACAAAGTTCATGGAAGGTGAAATTAAAAGTAAGTTTATTTTAGTGCAAAATATTTCTTAAGGGCATGCATATTTTTCATAATATGCATTTCTATGAACTTTTTGAAGACCCTTGATATATATGATCAAGTGTTGTATACAATTATTTTCTGACTTTCTGAACAAAGCCCGGCTGATGCCAGCCCCTGTCAGCCACATGCTGGTCAGCCCATAGGCCTGAGACACCTTGCTGGCCTCACCTCCCACCCTTCCCTTTCTTCGCCTCCCTTGCTGTGTGCTCCAGGGAGACTACTCTTTCTTCTTCCCTGCACTCTTTAGCTTTAGTGCAGGGATGAGGTATATTCCATATGTGGGCTTTAGAAGACCTGAAAAATCACTTGGTTTCGCCCTTCCAAGGCAATACTCGAAACTCAATAAATCCATAGTTATAAATATCCAATGGCCCTTGGCAGAAAAAAGGGTTTTTCACCTCTGCTAGTGCCTTTGGCCATATTATTCCCTCAATTCCCTCAATACCTGGGTACCAGGAAAGGGGGTAGGAAGTTGTTTCCCATTGACCCCCCATTCTTTCAAAGGTTTGGGGAAGATTATTGAAATTTGCATATCACACACAAAAAAAACTAGTAGACAGAAGCCAGAGATGGGAAAATATGTTTAGAAAACCTGTGTAGGTCGCAGGAACATAGTTCACTAACTACACTTGTTTTGAAGAGAAATAACTGATATCCCAATTTTTTTAAAGATTTATTTATTTATTTGAAAGAGTTACACAGAGAGGGGAGAGGCAGAGAGACAGAAAGTCTTCCATTCGATGGTTCACTCCCCAATTGGCTGCAACGGCCGGAGCTGCGCCAATCTGAAGACATACCAAGAGCTTCTTCCGGTCTCCCGCGTGGGTGCAGGGGCCCAAGGACTTGGGCCATCTTCTACTGCTTTCCCAGGCCATAGCGGAGAGCTGGATCCAAAGTGTAGAAGCCGGGTCTCGAACCGGGGCCCATATGGGATGCCGGCACTTCAGGCCAGGGTGTTAACCCGCTGCGCCACAGCGCCGGCCCCTGGTATTCCAATTTTTAAATGTTCCCAATAAACTAGATAACATGAAGCATTTTTTTAAAAAAAATTGGTGACTCTTGAGTAAGAGTGAACATTGGGCCGGCGCCGCGGCTCACTAGGCTAATCCTCCGCCTAGCGGCGCCGGCACACCGGGTTCTAGTCCCGGTTGGGGCGCCGGATTCTGTCCCGGTTGCCCCTCTTCCAGGCCAGCTCTCTGCTGTGGCCAGGGAGTGCAGTGGAGGATGGCTCAGGTGCTTGGGCCCTGCACCCCATGGGAGACCAGGAAAAAGCACCTGGCTCCTGGCTCCTGCCATCGGATCAGCGCGGTGCGCCGGCCGCAGCATGCCGGCCGTGGGCGACCATTGGAGGGTGAACCAACGGCAAAAGGAAGACCTTCCTCTCTGTCTCTCTCTCTCACTGTCCCATTCTGCCCTGTCAAAAAAAAAAAAAAAAAAAAAAAAAAAGAGTGAACATTGAAGTTGGTAGACTTGGCAGATGAGGCCAAAAAACATGGGGAAGAGTAGCCAATTGTGCTTGCTTTCTTCACTGTTTTAACAGCTTGTTCTTTATTGCCTGCAGATGGCAAACAATGCAGTTTGGGCTAGATGAGATGACAGTCATGGCTTCTTTTTTTTTCTTTTTTCTTTCTTTCTTTTTTTTTTTTACAGGCAGAGTTAGACAGTGAGAGAGAAAGGTCTTCCTTCCACTGGTTCACCCCCGAGGTGGTTGCTACTGTCGGCGCACTGTGCCAATCCGAAGCCAGGAGCCAGATGTTTCCTCTTGATCTCCCATGCGGGTGCAGGGCTCAAGCACCTGGCCCATCCTCCACTGCCTTCCCGGGCCACAGCAGAGAGCTGGACCGGAAGAGGAGCAACCAGGACAGAATCCAGCGCCCCAGCTGGGACTAAAACCCAGGGTACCAGCGCCGCAGGCCTAGTGAACCGTGGCGCCAGCCATGTCATGGCTTCTTGACACTGATACACCATTTTAATTCTTGTTTCTTTCAAGGAACAACCCATAACTTTTCAACTGAGAGAAAAGGAGACCTAGTAGGTAAGTCTTGTACTTTTAAAACTGTGACTGATTTTATGTTTCAACTGCAAGTTTGCTCCTTGCCACTACCTTTTACCTTTTTCTTGTATAGTGGTAGTCCTTTCATTGATAGATGGATAGTTACTGAATATTGAATGGCTACTGAATATTGAAAGGGCTACAGCGATGAGTAAGACAAACAGGCCTTTATAGAGCTCCAGGTAAGGTTGGGGACAAGCATATGTACAAACCCTGGTGTAGGGTGGACTTTGGTGTTTTTGAGTTCTGCAAAGAGGGCTTTTAGGGGCTGGAAACTAGTGAGCAAGAGAGGGACCAGAGCATGGTGCATTTCCTTAGGACACACACAGTAGTTGTTTTTTAATTGTGACCATTACAACTTACCATAGAGTAGTAATTAAAATAGCGTACTGTGTTTTTTTTTTAAAGATTTATTTATTTGATTTAAAGGCAGAGTTACAGAGAGGGAGAGAGGGAGAGTGTCTTCCATCTGCTGGTTCACTCCCCAGATGGCCACAATGGCTGGAGCTGCCGCGATCTGAAACCAGGAGCCAGGAGCTTCTTCCAGGTCTCCCATGCGGGTGAGGGGCCCAAGGACTTGGGCCATCTTCTACTGGTTTCCCAGGCCATAGCAGAGAGCTGGATTGGAAGTAGAGCAGCTGGGACTTGAATTGTCGCCCATATAGGATGCTGGCACTGCAGGTGGTGGCTCTACCCACTATGCCACAGTGCCGGCCCCTTGAAATTTTTTTTTTTTGAAAGAAAAACATATGAGTAAAGACAGTAAATCTTTCTAAAGTAAACATTCAGATAAAGAAAAATGTCACCAGAAATTCTCCTATGTTGGGGCTGGCATTGTAGCCCAGTGGGTTAAGCCACCACCTGCAATACCGGCATCCCATGTGAGCTATTGTTACAGTCCTGCTTGCTCCACTTCTGATCTATCTTCCTGCTAATGTGCCTGTGAAGATGCTTGGGTTCCTGCCACCTACCTAGGAGACCCAGATGGAATTCCTGGCTTCTGCCTTTGGCCATTACTGCCATTTGGGAAGTGAACCAGTGGATGGAAATTCTCTCTCTAATTCTGCCTTAAAAAATCTTTTAAAAATTTAAAAAAGGCAAAAAGAAAGTCTTCCATGTTATCTACCTTAAGTTTTGTATTTTTGTCTAAAAATTTGATTTGGGTAAAATATCATTTTTTAGTTTCCTTTCACCTAGTTATAAACTGGTTTGCTCAGTAAGGCATTAATTATTTTTTTAAAGATTTATTTATTTATTTGAAAGGCAGAGTTACAGAGAGGCAGAGGCAGAAAGAGATAGAGAGAGAGAGAGAGGTCTTCCATTCACTGGTTCACTTCCCGTAATGGCCAGAGCTAGGCTTATCTGAAGCCAGGATCCAGGAGCTTCTTCCAGGTCTCCCAGGTGGGTACAGGGGCCCAAGGATGCGGGCCATCTTCTCCTGCCTTCCCAGGCCATAGCAGAGAGCTGGATCGGAAGTGGAGCAGCTGGGACTTGAACACGCGCCCATATGGGATGCCGGCACTGCAGGAAGCAGCTTTACTTGCTAAGACACAGCATTGGCCCCTGTACTAATTTTTTTTTTTTTTTTTTAAGTGATGGTGTTACCGCTGATTCTATCCCTGGGAACTTGTTCCATCAGCTACCGAGAATGTGGCCAATGAAAAAACAGATGAAAAGGTGATTTTAGCATAATTTATTGGAAAAACACCTGGTGGACCAGGTGGGCATCTCAGTGAAGGACTGAGAGCCCAGTCTGCATTTAGAGTAGAGTTTTTATGGACATGAGTGAAGAGGGTCCCCTGTTTTTTCTCCCCTCCTCTGTCTTCGGAGAAATTCTGGGTGGGGGATTTTTGGATGTGGAATTCCCTTAAACACAGCCCTCTGGACAATACTGGCTATCAGGGTTCTTATCTATTGGAGAAGCAAATGATTCCTTCCGTCCCCTATTGCCAGCTGTATCACTCCCTCTGTTCAATGAGTTCTTGTTGATAATGGATAGGCGAGGACACCCTGGGCTAGGGGAGACAGTCAAGAGGCTGGGCCTTGCTTTCTCAACTTCTTTCCTCATTCCTTTGCACTTGAATTTATTTTATTTAGACCTTCTCATTTTCTTTGGTCTCTCCTGTCCACATAGGCTAATAATATCTACCTGGCTACCTGAACTATGGTTCTGGATAAGGTTGCTGGAATGACTATCAGATCTGCTGATGCAGTAAAAAAGAATGTGTTGACTGATGTCCACTGACAGGTCAAGATTTCACTGTGGTGTTTTTAATGATATATTACTGAGTAGAGAAAAGTTGTTGGATTACATTTGTAAAATCATGGTTTTTCTTGTTAAAAGTGTGTGTGTTTGTATGTGTGTATTTGTGTGTGTGGTATATATTATATAGTTGTATATTTACACAGAAAAAGAAATGGAAGAATATCAGTACATCTAATATTGCCAACCATAATCAGTGGGAACAGAAAATGGGTTGAGACTTTTTTATTTTATATATTTGTGAGCCTTGAAAACTAATGAATACAAAACTATACTTTTCACTCATTTTTCCCCCAAAATGATGGGTTATAGTTTTATAGGGGACTCCGGGACTTTTGAGCTCTAGTCCGTGGTAGACTAGAAGAGGTGACGCATGAAAAGGACTCCTTGGTTCTAGAACCAGGTCCACTGCACTAAAGTGGTCCTTACACAAGAGATTCCACTTAAAGAGTCTGTTTTCTTGTTGGAAAAATGAGAGTGTTATTGAATTAGATGATGTATGTGGGCTGGCGATGCGGCTCACTGGGCTAATCCTCTGCCTTGCGGCGCTGGCACACCGGATTCTGGTCCTGGTCGGGGCGCTGGATTCTGTCCCGGCTGCTCCTCTTCCAGGCCAGCTCTCTGCTGTGGCCAGGGAGTACAGTGGAGGATGGCCCAAGTCCTTGGGCCCTGCACCCCATGGGAGACCAGGATAAGTACCTGCAGGGCTCCTGCCATCGGATCAGCGTGGTGCGCCGGCCGCAGCGCGCCAGCCGTGGCGGCCATTGGAGGGTGAACCAAGGGCAAAGGAGGACCTTTCTCTCTGTTTCTCTCTCTCTTTCACTGTCCACTCTGCCTGTCTAAAATAAAATAAAATAAAATAAAATAAAATAAGATGATGTATGTGAAATCATCTTGAAAATGGTAATGAACTATTGCATAACACATGTTAATGTTCCTTTCTGATAGTAATATTATTTGTTAAAGGGATGAAATGCTAATTTTTGGGAGCCTCCCAATGTCTAATGCAAAAAATTTTCAATATCTTTTAAATTGGCTTATCATGGACCTTTTCTCTTTTTTTTGACCCAGGATTGGGCATCGGACTTTAAATCCAAGTTAAACCACAACATTTCCAACTGTTTACATGAAGAAGAGACAGAAGACACAACTGTTAAAAATGTGTACGTTCTAATATATAGCCAACTGAAGGGGTCAACTCTGTCGCAGAGAAGTAACCAAGACAGCATTTTAAAAAATTCCTAGTTTCTGTGAAATTTCCTACTTTCAGAGTTTTTTCATTATATTGAACTATTTGTGATTTAATCATGAACATCTAAGACCTGATGTACAGAAATATTTAAAAGGAATTCAAAATTGAATGGGAACATTTGTACACTCAATATGATCCAATGTTGTAGCCTCAGAGTTTTTCTATGTGAAAGACATCTTTACATCTTTTCAATAAATGAGACTGGAATCCAATGTGGTTGTGTCTATTTGTGTGACGACTGAATGCTTCTTGAGATATGTTGCCTTCTCTGAGCTAATTCACAGCCACACCTTTTAAATTCAATCCCAGTTCTACCATTTACTTCGTCTCAAATGCCTAAGGATGGATGAGTGAGTAAGAGTGGAGCGCTTTCTGGCCTTGCACAGTTTCTTATACTTCCCTCGGCCTCTACTCTGCACACTTACGTAAAACTCCACTCTATCTCCCCGGAAAAACTTAAATTAAAAAAGGGAAATCAAATTCTATGCCGACCTTTTAAGACCCAGTTTAAAAAAAAAAAAAAAAAAAAAAAAACCTTTCCAAGACTATTCCGCAAGCCGCGTCCCTACGGTGTATTCCTGTCCATCTTACACCTCTTATGAGGTTGTGTGCTAGTTATTCCACTCCGCCAAGTTGTTTGCTGGGAACTCCGAATCTGTCTTCTCTAGGCGTCAACACTCAGCGCCCAGGGACCGTAACCTGGGCAGTGTGTGCGCTGGGGAAGGCAGCAGCAAACTGCAAGCCTGTATCCAGAATAGACTGTGGGAACAACGATAACACACTTAACGGCGACCCGGAAGTGTTTGCTTGCGAGGTCCAAATAGAACAATGGCTGTTACGTCCACTTCTCACTACAACCTTCCATTCATTCCGGGCTTCTTTGATCCCACGCCATCTTCAAACCTGAGCTGGGGCTGACTGGCCAATCAGAGTGCAGCCTTTCTCAGTCGCGAGGATCGCTGCAGCCAATGAGCGGCCGGGGCGCTTTGGTGGGGTGAGGCCGCCAGGAGGCGAATTCCACGGGGGCGCGGTTGACGCGGTTGGGTGGGACCGAAAGTTGATTGGCAGCTGAAGAGTTCACTGCCTTAGAACGGAACCACCGTAGGGTGCGCGTCGCGGGGGAGGTGGGCGGGATAGTAAAACTGGAATCAGCCAATGGGTGACGCACTACACTCGGAGGGCGCGATAGATCACCAATGGCGGCAATGGTATGGCGCGGTGGGCGGAGTTTAGGATCAGCGCCTATTTGTGTCGTCTCCTTCGTCACGGCCGGAGCCTCCTTCTGACTTCATTCATTTTTTTTTTTCCATTCACGAAGATAGTGAGGCCTAGCCGAAAGCCATGGAGACCGCTCTCCCTGCCGCCGGCTTCCTGTATTGGGTGGGCGCCGGCACGGTGGCCTACCTGGCCCTGCGCATCTCGTACTCGCTCTTCTGGGCCCTTCGGGTCTGGGGTGTGGGCAACGAGGCGTGGGTCGGGCCGGGGCTCGGTGAATGGGCAGGTGAGTCGGATGCCGCGCCGCGCCCTGTCCTCTGGCGGGGCTGGGCTGGGCTGGGGCTGGGCCTGGCCGGCGCTGACCAGGCCCGGCGCTCGGCCTGCGCCTCCTCAGCTCGCTTCTCTGTCTCCTCAGACCCCTGCGTCCCGCGTACCCGCCCTGGCTCCCTCAGTCGCCTCGGGGCTTGCTTAGACTTCTCGGAGAGTTTTAAAAATACTCCACACACTGCCGGCGCAACTCTGGGAGTCGCGAAGCGCCGCCCGGGTGCGGGAGCCATCTGCCTTCAGGCTGCCCGGGGCTTGCGTCGATGGAGCCATTCGCGGGTTCGAGGCCTGGAGTCAGCTCCTCGTCTCCTCCCCTGCCACCCGCGCCCCTTGTAAATAAAGTTTCCCCGCTGGGCTCGAATGCTGGCCCGGTTCCGAGGGATGCGGAGCAGGGCTGTTGACCGCTCCGGGATGAGGATGGGAGAGGGATGCGAGGGCGCGAGGGTGGCCGCCGTCTCCGTGCTCGGTGGGGACCTGGCCGCTGCATTTGACTTGGATTCAGCCTTTTTTTCATTTAATTGACACAGCCCTCCTTTTAAAAAAAATGCTCGCTAAAAGGTTCTCGGAGTCCAGTGGGTAGCGGGGACGATTCCTTCCTGGAAACGGCCGCACCTTCGTGTTGCAACCCGAGGTGTTTCGCAGAAGGGTGTTTGTGGGAGCGAGTTACCCGCGGATCCTCCAGCGATTTGGAGCCTTCAAGAATGCGGGGCAAAGGTCTGACTGGCAGCATTGCTTGCTGGGAAGTTTGCCTTTTTTTTTCTTTTGTGCTTTTTTTCATTTTTTTTTCTGTGTTAAAAACAAGTGATTGCTTATAATATGCTTGTGGTTCTTAGATATTCTTTTTTTTTTTCTTTCTTGTAAATAATGTTCACTTCACCAGCTCTTGGTGGAGTTTTGGGGTGGTTAGGTGTTGCTTGCAGACTAGGTGGGAGTAAGATACACAAATCATGTTAGTCCACGTTGACTTTGTTCATTCCAAAACATTTGAACAACTTAGTCAAGACAGGATGCATTTCGGGACAAGCAAGCTTTGAGGGAAAACAACTCAGATCGGAATGCAGAGGTGAGCTCCTCCCATGATGGGAGGCAGCTGTTTACACATGTTCATAACGCCTTGTTACGTTTTGATATTACTTCATCTAATCAAGAATATAATTTCTCAATTGACTTGCCCAAGTTTTTGGTTGTCAGCTTTGAAAAACTTGTTTGTGGACTTTTGGGATAGTTACACAAGATACTAATGCCACTAACTAATTATCAAGATAAAAGGCAAATATCAGATGTTTGATTTATGGAGTATAAACAATGTATATGAGTGAAATTGACACCTTTAGATTTGATTACTATTTATAACCCTTGTCTATATTCCTGCTGAACAGTAGTCTTTATGCATTTTACCTGTTGAACTCTTTTTTTTTTTTAAAGATTGTATTTATTCATTTGAGAGGTAGAGTTACACAGACAGTGAGAGTGAGAGTCAGAGAGAGAGGTCTAACGCTGGTTTACTCCCCAAATGGCTGTAATGGCCAGAGCTCTGCCAGGAGCCAGGAATTTCTTCTGAGTCTCTGATGTGGGTGCAGGGGCCCAAGCACTGGGGCCGTCTTCTATTGCTTTCCCAGGCCATCGCAGAGAGCTGGATTGGAAGAGGAGCAGCTGGGACTAGAACCAGCATCCATACAGGATGCCAGTGTTGCAGGTGGAGGATTAACCTACTGCGCCACAGTGCCGACCCCTACCTGTTGAACTCTATCTAGTGGAGCTTTTGACAACAAATTAAAAATGTGTTATCACAAAAATTAAGAAAAAGGAAGGAAGGGGAGGGATTGACGGAAGAGAAATAGCATTATATTCTTAAAATTATATCTACTTTAAATCTGTTCTTTTATATTCATACAAATGTAAATAAAAATAAAATATTTATAATTTGCAAACAAAGCCTTGTAAAAAATATTTAAATCTGTATTGGCAGATGATAAGATGGAGTCATCTATATGTGAGTCCATTGTAAAATCCAAATGATGCAACATTGTTGTTTCGTAAGTAACACTTGTAGGAAAAGGCTTGGTCCCAGAGGAAGAATAATTGACAAATTAAGGGCAGGGCTTAAAAAGATGTCCCAGTTTGATGTCGAACACTGGGACAGAGGCCAGCGCTGTGGCATAGCAGGTTAAACTGCTGCCTGCAGTGCCAGCATCCTATATGAGTGCTGGTTCGAGTGCTGGGTGCTCCACTTCTGTTCCAGCTCCCAGCTAATGCATCTGGAAAAGCAGCAGAACATGACCCAAATTCTTGGGTCCCTGAACCCACGTGGGAGACCTGGATGAAGCTCCTGGTTCCTTGCTTTAGTCTGGCCCAGCCCTCGTCCATGTGACTGTTTGGGGAATGAAATAGCTGGTAGAAGATCTCTCTGTAACTCTGCTTTTTCATCTAAATAAATAAAACTTAAAAAAAGAATACTGGGACAGTAGAGAGGATCATGGCTTTATAATTGAAATGAAATGAATTTAGTTTACCCTGAATTATCAGAAAATTTTCTAAGTGCTTAAACAGAAATGATCAAATTGTTATTTATAATATAACCTAAAAGAAAATACTTTCTTTGTCTAAAATTTGTCTCTCCAAATTCAGGGACTCTCAAAACAAAGAAAATTAAGGTGAGCTCATCTTAAACAGGTACCTTTTGGCAGGGGGGGAGCTGAAACTAGCAGAGGCGACCCCCGAATAAATAGTGTTAAATTGTGATGAAGAATAGTTTGTACAATTGTAGTTAATAATTTTAGAGTTTTTGTATATAAATCTACCAATTAATGTCCTCCCCTGCAATTACTGTATCAATCTCTAAGGATCACCGTTCTTTCCTGTGAAGCGTTCTTTGAGTATACGCTAGTAGGGGGCAGTGTTGAAGGGGCATTGCTTCTTTTCTGTTTTTTTTTTTTTTTTTTTTAAAGATTTATTTTATTTATTTGAAAGACAGAGTTACAGAGAGAGGTAGAGCCAGAGCCAGAGAGAGAGAGGTCCTCAATCCATTGGTTCTCTCCCCAAATGACTACATTGAGGTCATTTGACCAAATTGGGGAGCTGAGCTGATCCGAAGCCAGGAGCCAAGGGCTTCCTCTGCTCCCCTCAACCCCTACGGGACTGGACCATCCTCTACTGCTTTCCCAGGCCATAGAGAGCTGGATTGGGAGTGGAACAGCCAGGACTTGAATGGTTGCCCACATGGGATGCCAGGCTCTGCTTATTTTCTAGTATTTGTGTTCATGTAGTATCTTCCTTTCCATAACCAATTGAATATTTTAAGTATTCAGTAGCTATGTATGTTGAATTGATAGCTTATTGCTATTCCTATTATTCTTAAGTTGCCATGTGAGTATGTTTCATTTCTCTTCAGGTTTTAGAATTTGAGGGTCAGGGATTGTTGGTCTTTATTTTTGACTTTTCCCATGGTAAACTGACACGTTGTTCAGAGACTAGCTCTTGCAAACTTAAAAACAGAATCATGGCTAAAAACTGAAGTACAGGTTTGCAATCCGTGAAGGTGTTCTGGGCCACAGATTACTTAGTCTAGGTAGACTTTTAAGACCATGCATTCATTCCTTGGCCAGTTCTCTAACTTAGCACCTTTGTCTCCTGGTCAAGAGCTGAGTTACCTCTTTTCCTATGTCCTC